AATCAGAAGCAGAAGCATTTGGTGGCGCAGTGGCTAAGCACTCAGCTGTGGTGAGTTCTTCTGTGGCTTGAACATTTGCTGAGGAGTGTTTCTGAGCGGTGGGTGAGGACTCTGCAGAGAGATGACGTGCTGAGGTGGGTTTATGAGTGGTGAGTGGAGACACTGAAGTTTGATTATGTGTTGAGGTGGATCCTTGAGCAGTTGTTGGGGACCATGCAGTTGGGTGACTTGCTGAGGTGGGGATATTAGTTGTTAGTGTAGACACTGAAGTTGGATGATTTGTTGAGGTGTGTCCAGGAGTGGTTAATGGAGACTTTAAAGTTGGGTGATTTGCTGAGGTGGCTTTGTGAGTGGTTAGCAGCGACTGTGTCATAGGATGATGTTTGGAGGTGGCTTTGTGAGTGGTTAGTGGTGACTTTGTAGTTGGAAGATTTGCTGAGGTGGGTTTCAGCGGAGCTGGTGGGGCCTCTGTACCTGGAGGATTTGATGAGGTGGATTTCTGAGTTGTTGGGGGCTTTGTAGTAGAAGCAGGAACGGTCGGTGTTGAAGCAGCTGTTGTGCCGGTGGTGGTGGTTGTATTTTCTGTGGAGAAAAACCTTAAACAGGTAAATATTGGTATGCAAGTTCACACTGTTCTTTTTCTCTTCCCACCTGAACACCGAAAAATGACTTTCAGAAAACCTAAATCTTATTTTGAATTTCACAAGGAACTGCCAGTGGAGAAGCCTATCTCTGAGTGATTTTACCATTGCTTAGAGTTTCCAAGTTTGCTACGAGATACCTTGAAGTAGTTTTCTTTTTAACTTACCTATGGTCTAGAGAACATCTTGACCTGTTGGACACATTTTGCCAGTTTTGGAAGATTTTCAGTCATTATCCTTGAAGGCTTCTTCTCTTACAAGTTATCTTTTTCTGCTCCTTTTCTAATATATGTTAGATATATATTAGAACAATTTAACATGTTTCAAATATTTCTGACCTCTTAATCTCTCTTTTACATTATTCCCCTGACTATTCTCCTAGTGCTTCTCTTTCAATATCTTCACTTGGCGTGTATGTCAGCTTATAATATTTTGTGCTCTGTCTACGTAGCTGTTAAAGCCTGTGCGAAGCTTTTAAAGCCCGTCTATTGTGTTCTTCATTTTGGATCTAATTTCCAGTTGTAGAAGTCTCTCTATAAGAGATTGAAATTCTCTGTTTAATTTCCCATCACTTCAGGTACTCTTTAGTTCATTTTACCCTGTACTGTCTTAATATATTAATAATTTCTTGGAAAGCCCTTCTTTGCTAACTCAGTTACCTAGATCTTTATCAGTTTTACATTTTTCATTTGATTTGCTTCTATTTGCTAGCTTCTTTTCCTGTCTAATATTTTGTTAATTATACCATGTATCGTGTATAGAATACCCAAGTGATGCGGTCGTCAGAGGCAGCCTTTACTGAGAGCTGTAGGTTTGAGATGATCAACTCCTCAACCTACTAGTGACTACGATTGGGTAGTTTTAGTAAAATGCAATTGATTGCTCTCTGCTCACATCTCTGTTCCTCAGGCTGTCACTTCTGGGTTTTCATGGAAATCCTGGTAAATGTTTGCTCACTCAGCTCGGAAATATTTCAAGTCTGACCCTCAATGTTCCCCACTCCAGCAATTAACTATCTTCCCAGAAACATGGAGGTACGTCTTAAGAGAGACTCTGGCTCTGAACTTGAGATAGAGTTGCTCCTCTGATGTGCCTTTGTTTCCCAAAGGACATAAATCCATGGGATTTCACTCTGCATTTTAGAACCACCTTCAAGACTCTCTCACTCCCCAGCCTAGTGGGCAAAGCCAACAAATAAGGTCCTTGAAAAAACTGATGGAGAATTTGAGATCTTTGCTTTGCCAGGGTTTGATCCTAGCCCTCCCCACCCATTAAAAGCTTCACAGGGTTCTCTTTTTCTTGGAAGTGGCCACAGCCATGACCATCAAGAGGAACCCTCAGTCCACCTTCAGAAGCCACAAATCCTTCCAGGGAAAAACCGAACAGGCTCACCTATGAATGGATTGCCTATACCAGTCCCCTCTATGCTTCAATTTTCATTTATCTAGCCCTTATTCCTCTCTAAAGTACTCAAGAGCAACGGTGTCTCTCTGGAGACTAAGGTGAGCCTGATATGGGCCATGGTCTTTGCAATCATTTGTTATG